GTTCTGTTCTGTTCTGTGACTACATCCAGTGAAGAGCTTTCTTGGGCTATGCTGTGGCAGATATTATAGAAGATGTCCATGCTAGTAACAATTCTCTTATGTGTCATTGTTAACTGGCCAGCAGTTGTTCTTCCTGAGGTGTGAAGGATTCATGATCTCTTCAGTTTTCACAGTTCCCAGAAAGAGAAGCCCTGCAGATAACAGCTTTCAGGAGGTCAGACAGGTGAGAAAGCTTCTTCCCCAAGACCTTGCATGTAGAGGCATCAAAAATAAATGTACTGGCAATGCCTTTTCCCAGAGAATGTAACCAAATTACCAAAAATATCCCTAACATCATAGTTTGTGAATTGCTTTGGTGAGGTGTGGGGGAAAATGGCTTATTTTGACTTGTTATTTTACCTTAATCTAGCTCCAAATCTCTTTCCAAAGTAACTGCAGCCCATACTTCCCCACAACAAGGAATGTGTAGACCCCTTCCTGAAATCCCGTAAAGTCAAGGACCTCCGTCCATGGAAGTTTCATCCTAGAGGCTTTCCACAGTTACAGCTGTGAATCAAGGTCATCACTGGACTTTATGAATTGTGTATTTTCTCCTGTAGCTTGTAGAGGTGTTTCCTTCTCTTATTCTGATTCTCTGCATATGCAGAGAGTAAAACAAGGTGGGGCATGTGTGTGGGACTGAGACTAGATGAGTGTTGGTGGGGCTTATTGCAATAACCACCAGTGCAGATATGAGGGAAAATGTGGAAGAATTGGAAGAGGAAAACTGAAACTGGCTGACTGAGAGAAGTGGGTCTCAGTGGGGATGGAGAGGACAGAAATGAAATTGGGACTCTGACAGCAAGTCCAGAGGGATAGATTTGGTTTGGTTCAATTAAAAGATAAATAACAGGATGAGGTGAGGAATGCAGGCTGGGAATGGGGGGGCAATGAAAATGAGGCAGAGATGAGGAGTCAGGAGTGGAGAAGAGGAAGGTCTGAGTCAGCGTTGTCTGTGGTGGGATGAAGCAGAAGCACCCAAGCTCTGTAGAGGGGCAAGCAGGAGGGCCTGTACCTGCTCAAAAATGCTTCCTTCGAAGGCTTAGATGGAGCCTAAAATCCCATGTTTTACTGTTTCTCTGCTGTCAGTAAAAGTGTCAGCCCTAGATTATAGAGACCTACCTTCAAGGTATCTAAATGTGGCTTCTATGTGCAAGGTGGGAGTCTAAGATTCCATCACTGTCAGGGAAGGATTCAGCTGCCTAAACATCTAGACCTGCATGTACTTTTGATGCCTTAGAAAATTCTTCAAGGTGTCCTAAGATAGCCAAATGACTGTAGACACCTACTTTCAGGCAGCCGTGTTCCACCTGTGCTCAACTCAGTCCCAGGAATCCAGAGAGATACTCCAATGCGACTGTGCAGAAGATGAGACACAGGCTCACATAAATGCTTGCATACAGATAACTAAATGTGTCTATGTCTGCAGTGTGCACCTGAGTGCCAGCCGAATGTTTGTGAAACCTGCAGGCATGGTATTTTTCTCAGCCTTCACTAATGTTGGGCCATGGAGTTGATGACAATCTGCTTTTGCTGTGAGTTGCTGTCCTAATTCAAGTGGCAGAGAATAGGAGTTTGCAAGTACCCAGTGCACGATGTGAGGAAAGAAGGAGAGGAGCATGTTGCTCCGTGAGGAGCTCCTTTGTTCTTCTGTTGACTCTTTCAAATCCTAGAAATTCAGACACAGCCATACGTCCAAAGCCCGGGTGCCCTGCTAGGCAAGCTGTGCTGGGGAATGCCAGAATTAAAACTTTCTCCTTTGCTGCACAACCTTGGTTCCTCCCCAGAGCAGGTGCATCCTGTGGGGAAGAACAGAGTGCATCATGTGATTGAAAACAACAGCAGGATGCAAACACGAGGAACTAAATTCAGGCTGCACCAAAAGCTGTAATTCCAGCATTGCCTTGCAAGGCAATGGCTTGGTTCTTCTGCTTTAATATTGCTTTTTTTCTCTCTCTCAGTCTTATATGCTGTGTACGTTTAGAATGCTTTCATGAAATTTAATTAGAAAATTGGATGTGTGAGGCAAGCGATGCAATACTGATGATGGAGTAACCTGTGGAGAATAGGAGGCTTGCTGTCATCATTCAGTTCTTGTGCCAAAATCCAGCTCAAGCTGACCCAGCTGTAAATGGGTATTTGATCTTTCTGGCTAAGGAGTAAAAGACAACTTTGACAAAGGTGCTTGGATAATTCACTTCTTGGATATAGCAGTTACAGAGCCTTACTCTTGGAGGTCAGGATAGTTGGGATGGATACTTGAATGTAGTATGGTGGGCTGGTAGCATTCATTATAAAGCTGTTTTCTGAGCTGAAGTAAGTGCTAAATCAAAGCTCTCTGCTTTCTGTGTCATTCTAGTCTTTTGAGGCCTCTTAAGTGCTTATATGGAAAAGAAATCCCTTATGTGAAGGGATGTGACATGAAAATAATGCTGACTCAACAGGCAAGTCTTAAGAGATGGAGGAAGACAAAAGTTACCTGTCAATGAGGGAGTAAATCTTCTTTGGGTTCCGTTTACATTCAGATTTTGTTTAATCATGTTATTTCCTAGACTTGAAGAAATGGAAGAGCAAGGTTAGTGGTACTGGGCCACTCGTATACGACTTCTTCACTTTACCCCTTCTTTGTTAACAATGCGTAGAGCTCCTCTCTCTTCCTTTGTCTACTGAAGTGCCTTACAAGAAGTTCCAAATGGGCTTTCTTATCCAGAAGCTGGAACATTTAGGCTCATTTATATCGAATACTGAGAACCCATTTAAGCTTTCTGAGTGTGATTGTCATGTCTGCCTAAGGAGACCTTGGACCTAAAGAGAAACTCTCCTCATCTCTGGTGAAGTGACCGTGCTTATTGTCTGTGGGTTTTCTGGTGTGGTCACAGAACAGGAAACGAGATATTCCTCTTCTTGGGACCCTTAGTCTTGTCACAGTCTAAAAGAATGAGTCTCTTACCAAAGAAATAGCCATGTTGTTGTTTGAGTACATTTTGAAGTTCGTGTTTTCTGTTCTGTGGCTTCTGAGACTTTCCACTGCACATGGATTTCTCTCTTCACACTTGTTCTGCTATGAGGGCAAGATGCTTGTGTTTTTTACAAAAGAAAGCTGTGATTCCCACTCCACACAGGACAAGAGGCAAAGGGTACAAATTAAAATGTGGAATTCCATCTGAATGCAGGGAGACACTTTTTCACTGTAAGGGTGGTCAAACACAGGAACAGGTTGACCAGAGAGGTTGCGGAATCTCTATTTGTGGAAATATTTGAAAACTGTCTGGACATGGTCCTGGACAACCTGCTCTAGCTGACCCTGCTTGAGAAGGGGGTTTGGACAGGAGGATCTCAAGCCTCACCTGTTCTGTGATTCCATGACTCAGAGGTTACACATTCTAGGAAATGGCAAACGCCTTTTGAAGCTTGCAGCAGTGCCCTCTCGTTCAGCTTGCTTGGAAGCAGAGTGCCCCTGCTTAGGGGGCTGAGCGAGGTGGCATTTTCTCTAGTTGCAGCCTACCAGTATGGTCCTTCTCACATAATTTCTCCTGTCAGGTCAGGTACTCTCCTTCCCCTTTCTCTGTGTCCTGTGAACACCTACACCTGGAAAACATCATACATGAGATTCTGGTATACTATTTTCTACTCTGCTTCATTTTAAGAGCAGCATCACCTCTTTGCAGCTCCCTCTCCACCTCATTGGTAACTGCTATTACACGGCAGTATAACTTGTTTCCCTGGCAGAGAGGGATTTGTTCCCAAAATCTAGCCTGCAGCCTCTTACAACAAGAATAGTAGTGATAGTGCTGGTCAGTTACTTTCCTTCCCTCTACTTAGATATCCCACGTCATTCAAGCAGACCTGCCGTAGCTGTAGAACAGTATAAAAGTAGGTACAGTATATATAGGGCTCAGATGTTTTAAAGACAGACAATGGACAGTTTAGCATTCATGCAGAAAAATGTTTTATTGTAGTGAAATTATACAGGAGAAAAACAAAAGTCTCCCTGCTCCTGGTTCAAGGCTATACTGAGCCATAAAAGGGGAGGTAAGTGCTAACCAAAACAAATTCCTACACGTAAAAACACATTGCACTTCCAGTCATTTTTACAAGGTTATAAGGACACCACCTGGTATTTTTTGGTCTTTTTTTCTTTGTTTGTTTTTTCCTAATGGGCTGCAGCTTTAACTATTTAAAGCTGGAATCCAGAATGTTTCCTTACAGGAGTTTTTGTTGTTTGGGGTTTTTCCCCTCATAAAAGCAAACCTGAAGATACTCTTTCTTTCTGCTTAGCCTGTCCAGTTTATTTAGGCCTCATGAGGTTTACTGGATACATTCCCATAATGATCTTGTAAGGCTTCGGTGGCTCTAAACCCAGGCTCGGTATACAACACTAATGCTGGTTGGTGGCCAGATCATTCTCATCACCAGCAAGCAGGAAGAGGGAATGGCAGCAGGTACAAGGGGTTTATGGAAGAGTGCTGAAGTGGCCTTGATGACAGAGCAGCTCCTCCTCAGTTGGGGTAACTGCCAGCCCACTTCTTAATGCAGAAAATCAGCAAAGCATTGCATCAGCCTGGTACACACGCACAACAAATGGCACGGAGTCTGTGACCATACAGAAAATAAAAGGAAGGTGGGACAGGTTTTGGACCTGCCAACCTTTTACTTGTCCTTTCAGGGATACAAATACAATACTGTTTATCAACTACTAACTAGTTTTCCCACACAACAAGCTATGTACAGCATATTCACTTACATATTTACATAATAACATACAAGTCTTCCCCACCACCACCTCTTCTGGTGAAAGAATATGACATGTCAAGGTGACAGATGCTTCAGGAGACCCTCAAGAAAAAACAAGTTCAGGCAGAAGTAGCTTAGTCTCGAAAGTAAAATCTTACAAAGGATAAGCAAGATTGTCTATTTTTACAATATTTACTTGTACAGTGCGAAAAGGAAGGATAGGCTTTTTAAACGTAGGATTCCTTGGCATACTGGATCTGGTCTACCTCAAAAACTGGCTGGCTGCACCTCCGAGCCACATACTCAAGTTTGTTCTTTTGACAGGATTCAGACATGGCTCTCAATCGGTAGACTCCCGGGGTCACGGGTAAACTCACACGGGAGTTTATTCCCACAGTGACGCTGAGGGTTTCAGTTTCCACATCAGAATCCTTTGCTGCAGAAACTCTGCCACTGGGTAGATCCCTTAGAGCCATATATGCTGTGTCCTGTGTGCAGCTGCTGCATGGATGAGGCAGCAAAGCGTCCTGGTTTGACACCTTTAATCTCATAGTTTGAACCGTGAGATTGTGGGAGGGAACTTCAGTGACCAGGCAGTTTTTAGTAGCCTCTTCGTAAGATGGTGGTCTTCCAGGATTCCTCTGGTCTACCTCTCTGAACACTTCATCAGCTGACCTGAAACGGGACCTTTGCTGGTTTGCCACAGGCAATGGCTTGTCATCATCATGGCTATTCTCCTGGACAACTCTGCCAGAGAACTGATCTTCTTTCTTTATGAAACTGTCTCTCTGAAAACCCATGTTTTTTCCAGGCCCCCAACTCTGGGTTTTTATTAGTGTTTTCCTACGGTTTGCAAAAGAGAATGACATGGAATGCTTTTTGATGTCTCTGCTAGGCATAATGCAGTCTTCAGTAGCCTTGGTGGAAAAGGACTGGGGCCTATTTAAAAAGGTTTTTTTGGGACTAGTGGGCGAAACTACTGGGGAGCTGGTGAAGACTGAGCCATCAGAGCTCTCCAGGGAGCAACTGGAAGATGTTTTGGGTAGAGAGTCAGATGATAATTGTGAAGGTAAGGTTGCAAGCTGTTTCTCCAGTGCCTCCAAACCTAGCTGTTTCTGCTGGACTGGAAAATTGTCCTCACTTTTGTTTAGCTTCTGTTTACTTATCCCGACTTCAAGGTGGTTCTGGAAGGACAGGTCTGGCTCTGAGTACCTCCTGTCCATTGTGTGGACGTCATTTCCAAAATTAGTCAGTGAAGGGGCAGAGATGTGTGTTGGATATCCTCTGCTCACACTAGTGCTCCTCCCTTTGGGCTGCTCCATCTGAGTGGTACAGGGGCTGCCTTCAGCTTCAGGATCTGGGCTGTCATAGGCAGAGTCAGTCTGATGAGCAGCACATAGGTGTTCTGTGGGGAGAAAGCATTTGTTAGTTTTCACTGACCATCTGAGGATGAAAGGGAACTATATGGAAAGAGTTCCTGTAGTAGAGCACTGCAATAGTGTCTTGAACCCTCTTCAAGTCTCTGTGTTTCCACAGATGTATTCCCGCATCAAATTAAGGAATTTGGCCCAGCAGCCCCAGTCTGTGACACCCCCAGTTCGTTCTCATACCTGTGGAGCTGTCTATGTGCTCCGGTGACTCCTCAGCTGAGGCACAGACAGACAAGGCAATGTTCTCCCCAAATATTTCTGAGCAGTTGTTTATGAGGAACTCCACCAACACTGTCACCTGCACACAGAAAACAGTTTGTAACAGTCAAAAGGGCTGAAAACAGTTTATAACAGTCAAAAGGGCTTAAAGTGTCTTTCCTGTTCCTGCCTGCTATCTTTGTATGAAAGGCAGCATAGAGCAGGGTGGCTTCCAAAATCATACAATCACAGAATACCAGGTTGGAAGGGACCTCAGGGATCATGTGGTGCAACCTTTCTTGGCAAAAAATCCTAGCTTAAAGTCAGAGAGTGAGTCCACTCTGGAGGATGAGGCCTGATGCTGCAGACTAATTGATCTGCCCCGATA